TGATTTTATTAGCAAGCAACAGTTTTAGTGTATGAAAGTGGATTATTTCATGGTAATAACAAGAGCAGGGTTACATTTATGGCAGTGACTCCTGGGGTTATTTGCTATTGTTCCTTCTCTCTCCTTTCCTGTTGTCAAAATACAACCTGTAAAAGTTGCTGCCTTTTCTCCAAACTTGAAATTTCGAGTCTGAGGTTTTATACGTAAAGTTTGGGACTGCATAGCAGCACGTGGCAACGTCTACCTCAGATCACTACCCTTTTTTGGAAGGGCTTTCCAGAACAATGACTTTTCCTCTGCAGTATGTGAGTTACTGTTGATACCAATTTATTTTCCTGAAAGTTCTTCCAATCCACTTCCCTTAGATTTAAACATTCAGCTAAGTAATTCCAAGATGACTGTTCTTTGTCCCCTTTAAAAGGGGCATCTTTTGGAAGACTTGTCACCCCTCGGAACCCCCAGGGGTGGAGGTCAGTAGCTGGAGGGTAGCCTGCCAACTGGGTTCTTTATGTAGGTGTCTCTGGTCTCAGCACCTGCCTATTATTATTCAAGACAAGCATGCCACTTAACTCCTTTTAATTTATAACGAGAAATGGAAGAAACTGAGGAGAAGCAGGATGTTAAAAATCGGGTCAGTGATAAAATAAGACTTTGGCACAGGCCACTCCAGGTGCAAATGTAACTGTCAAAACCTCAGAATATTAACTTCTCCATGCCTGTTAGCTCATCTGTAAAATAGTTATGATAATAATAGCATCTACACCAGTTGTTGTGGGGATTAGATGAGAAAATGTATTTTAAGCCTCCCAGCCCTGTGCCTGCCACATATGAGGCTGAAATACATGTTGATTCCCATTTCTTTGAGTTTCTACTCTATTTCTTAGCTGGCAAGGACAGTGTGAAGAGAAATGGCTTGCAATGAAGAGGCCTGATTGCTTAGGAGTGAACAGGCTTAATTAAATTTTCCCAAGAAATGTGTTCTTAAGAGAATGCATATTGATTAAGCCTTTCAAAATGGAGTCCTTTTAAAACAGACTAGGGGAACTCAGGTTTGTGCTAAGTAAATGATCACCCACCCCCTCATGTGTCTGCCTTGAAGTTCTTAGATACCAATACTTGACTTTTCACTAAGCTCTTTTTCTGATATCAAAGATTAGGGCCTTGGTAACTTCATTTTGGAGACAGTGCAGTGAGGACAGCTTACACAAAGCAGGTTGCCGATGATGTCTTTCCTGGTAAAAACATTGAATTCCACTATGTCCTGGAGTCTCTGGGGAATTCAGAGAGCACCAGGCAAGCCTTTGCCTCCAAGAGAGTATAAACTAGTAGGGAAGAGTAGAAATAGCCAATGAACTGAAACTCATCTGGGAATCCTGGGTAAACAGAAATCCATTGGGGAAACTGAAGATGGTTTCCTAGAAGTTCAGGAATGGAGAGGTTAGTTTACTTTTAGAATTTTTGCACACGTGCTATTTCTTGGGGGAATAGCCCTCAATGGACTCTCTTTTCCCCTGTTCCTTCAATGCGGTCCTCAGGAACACATTACCTGAGAACTGAGGAGGTCCAGGATAACATTGTCACCATCTTTGGGCCCTCTGCCCTGGGCACATAGCCTCCTCAAAAAAGGTTTATTAAATATATAATGAATAAATCCCCCAAAGTAGCTGAACACAGTAGTACCTTTATTACCCAGTTGCTTCTTTATAAGCTGGGAGTGAGGGGTTTTAAGGCATGCTAATTCTAGAAGACTGACTGAAAACTCCGTGAGGGCAGGTACCAAATTGGTTGCATTCAGTTACCTCCTTAGAGCTTGGTAGGCTACCTGACATCCTATAGGCACTCCATAGGCATTTGATGTGTGAATGGGTAAAAACTGCCCAGGTTCTGTCCTCAGAACTCACAGCCAGCCTTGGAAGAGAGAGGAGTTCAAGTGCGAAGGGACGGGCTGTCTTGGTCATCCGGTCATTCTGACAACCCCTGGGAGACCACAAGTCAATTTCACCTCTTCATTCAGCCATTTGCAGGAGGTTGTAAATCACCTCTTTACTCGGGTCGGGGGCAGCGGTGCGTCCCTGGCGCCCCCTGCGGAAGCCCCTGAGCCCAGTCGCAGAAGAAGAAGGTAACCCAGAGGGGGGAGCCAGCCAGCACGTGCAGCCGCCCAGGGGAGGAGGAGGCTGGGCTAACGCAGCCCTTAGTCAGCAGCTGGGCTCGGTTTTGAAACAAAAGCCAATGTCCTCCCTCGGAGTCCGCGGCCGGTCAGCTCCTGGGGGGAAGAAAGCCATGCTGCCCAGCCGGTTAGTGGCCCAACTTACTTTTCCAGAGCCTGGGACAAAGGGCCAGAGACGTACGGGAACGGGTGGGACGCTGGGGCTGGGGGACGGGGGCGCTGATCGCCCAGACCCTCCCCTCCCGGCAACATGGGGAAAGGGCCGGGGTCTCCCGTGCTCTGCGCATGTTTGTCCCGGGCCATCCGCCTCCCAGCCCGGGCCCGTCGGGTCTGCGTGGAGCGGAGGCACCTTTGCAGCCGGTGTCCCAGAGCACAGACACACCAGGCCCCGCTTTCATGAATGAAATCCAATCGTGTGGATATAAATAGCCGCGGAGGCTGCTAACGTCACAGCGCGAGCGGCGGCCGCCACGGCGGCGGAGCGAGGTGCCCGGCGCTCCGTTCCGCCCGGCTGCCCCGCCTGGGAGCGGGGTGGGGGCCGGTGGAGGGGAGGGCTGGCGGGGGGAAAGGGGCGAGCCCCTCTCGTCCCGGACAGGGGAGAGCGGCCGCGGCGCCGGGCGAGCCGGCGGGGCAGGCAGTGCCATGCTGCCTTTGTGCAAAGT